ACATATATTTCTATTAGCATAAACTACAACCAGAAAACCCTTCCGCAGTCCTTTTACACATAGACTGAAGTTATCCTCGGCGGCACAACAGCGAACTTTATTGTCTTTTCAAAAGACAGAACTGTCTAACTGAAAGCATTGTTTTACTGACGCAACAGTGCGCCAGTGGAATGTCACTACCCCCCCCCCCCTCCTTCCCTCCCACCCCCAAATCCATGGAATCTTTGAAATCACAAAAAAATGGGCACAAAATTGATGTTTAAACTATTTCTACTAATTTATTCGCAACAGAATTTAAATCATTCTATTTTCTGTCGTCTGTTCAGAGATAGCCTTGTTGTCTTGTCAGAGCTGTATAATTACTACGTTCTCTTCCAGGGATCCCGTGTCCAGACGTCCCTACCCCCCCAGTTATGGCACAGATACAACTGGGAGTGTTTCTGGACCTTCGTGCACGTTCACAATCCAGGCCTCAGAGCTAGGGGCAGGAACTCACAGACTGTCAGTCAACATGTACCCACAGTTTGATGGGAGTGGAGTGGCATACGGAAATATTAGCACCGTATCTCCTGACGTCACTTTTTGTGAGTGGAAACGTGACATGTATGTGTGTGTGTATGTGTGTGTGTGTGTGTGTGTGTGTGTGTGTGTGTGTGAGTGTGTGTATATGTGTGTGTGTGTGTGTGTGTGTGTGTGTGTGTGTGTGTGTGTGAATGTGTGTATGTGTGTAAGTGTGATTTTGTTCGTGTGTGTGTGTGTGTGTGTGTGTGTGTGTGCGTGTGTGTGTATGTGCTTTTTGTCTGTAACTGTATGCAGGTTGAAACATAGGCGTAAGTTAAAAGATGTTTTTTTGGGCACTCCCAAAAAAACAACAGCAACAAAAATCTACGGAACTACTCACACAATTTATTTTAACCTAAAAGAAACAAATAAGACTGTAGAAACCCTGTTTTCTACTCATTTAACTTATTGGTACCTGAAGGGCATACGATGTCCTTGTTAGTTAAGGGTTTAAAAGCTGTTCAAATGACATGTCATAAATTATTTTTAGGGGGTCAAATTTAAGTTTAACTGATATTCTGAAACTTTTCTTCTGTGTCATAGCTGTCATTAAAGTTCAGGAATACGATTTGACATTCTGGATGTTTGCTTTTGTGAAATTAATGCAAGCATTAGTTGGTGTTTTGTAAACATAGACAGTGGCTTGAGTCATCACAAATCATTTTCCATTTGTTTCATCAGGTTATCCCGTCCCTGAAATCGTCAACTGTCCTTCCGGAGCAAAGGTCAGCGGTGACCACATCATGTCTGGGTCAACAGCCACTTGTAAATGTCGTCAGAAAACTGAGGGTTTTCCTGCAGGCACAGTTGTTCTGTCTCAGGGCGGGTCTACCTTGGGCTCAGGAACTGTCGCCTCAGGGACTGTCATCAATCCTGGTGAGTTAAGTTAAACGATCAGACTAAAACAGATTGGAGCTGTTTTGTACCCCAACGTAAGAATGAGCTCACAACTTCATGGAGCCACTACTAGTCAAGCGACAGTTTTTAGTTTCATTCAGAACGCGAGGAAGATTACAACGCTGCAACATAGTATACTTGTGAGATTCTTTTTTTTGCTATTTCTTTTCTATCTTTTGCCAGATTCTGTTCAGTGTCTGAAAAGTATGAGGTCTAAGGAGTAGTTCACACACACACACACACAAACACACACACACACACACACACACATACACATACACACACACTCCCACCCCCACCCCCACCCCTACCCCCACACAAACACACACAAATACACACACGCACACATACAGAGTCAATCAAGTCTTTGAAGAGAAATATAATTGCAGAATAGAAAGTCTTACGAACTGCTAGAGTTAAGAGAATGGATTTATGCTCATGCTAACGTCCTCGGCTTCACCGAGTCACATGACATGCAAATGACCCTGTATCCTGTTCTCTTGTAAAAACCTTCTCAGTTATTAACTCAGCAATATACAGACTTGACACGTTCAACCAATTGCCCCCGGTGTCTGTGGTATTGCACTTCGGCGATTGGCCATCATAAGCAGAAAAGTCAAGTTCGATTATCATGTGTGGATAACTTTTTTTTTTTTGGAAATCGAGAACCAGTATCTCAGCCCTTCTGCTGAGACGTTGTATACCTCTCACCATTGTTTGGCTCTGACAGACAGGGTCAAGACCCACCTCCTAAATGATGTAAATTTTGTTCTGGAAGGGAGGACGCGTTGTAAAATCATCAACATAAAAAAACAACTCCACTGGCACCCTATTGCATTAATAAAACTTTGCGTTCAATACAAGGACAGCAAAAGTTCATTCTCCCTACCTAAACATGTTCAAATTTGTTGACAAATTACTGAGCGTATATTATAATTTGACATTTCAGGGAACAATAACAATGACCAGACGTTGACTTGTCGCTCTGAGTCTTCTCTGGGTCAAGCAGGTCCCTCTGTCTCCAAGATCGTCAAGTTTGCCT